TCGTTTTAGTGTATTTGCTTCCATTTATAGTCTTATATTCCCTATTTTGTAAGATTTTACCACTTTCTTTGCTAGGTCTTACACATATTTCCACTCATCCGTTCTAATCCCTCTCGTAAATCACCAGCGTAGATGATCTGTATGGGATGATTGGAGGCCTAATCAAGTTGGACGGAAATGGTGTGACGAACCAGCTAACGTTTAAGTCAGACCTCGTTGTCAGCACCTTACGTGGACTACCCCATTGACATATCAAAGTACTATAGGTGCTTTGAAAGCTGTACAACACAAAGGACGTTATTACTGAAATATATTGGTTAGAGTAGATATAAGTGAAAGTAAGACCTCCGCCACATATATCATTCCATGCCATACAATTAACTGATGCGCGTTGGTCGTCCTTGACCTTGGCAGGGATCGATATTCAGTGGCCCAGCTGCCGGATGATTTGGCTAGGGCTTAATGACATTTCACTGACCCTACACTCTCTTCATTCTCTTGTTCAATTCTATGCACTAGGCTTGTGCACTTTTCCGGTTGTTTTTGTTTGTCGCTTTCATATTTTTCCTTTGTTGGATCTTGGCTAGGGTATCAGTAGAGAACCATTCTTTATTCTGGTGCTTCATAAAACTCAGAGCCATATGAGTAGTTGAAGTCTTCACTTCTTTGACCCCTTTCTAGTTGTTTTCCATAGTACTTTATTTTTATTTGAGTAGAATTTGTGGGACAAGAATCAAATCGCTGATAAATATCATGAACGTGTAGTTTTTCAGCGCCTTGGAATAGGGTTATATTAAAATTTGGTGGTGTTCCTTGTCTGATTCTTCTTTAGCTTCAGTTTCGGCTTGACCACTGCCAGATGGTGATCCAAAGATGTGCTAGCTCACCGCCTTGTTCATATGTTTCCTATAGACCCTTTGAACATTGTTGATGCAAATGTGGTCGATCGTGTCCTCAGTGGTGTACTCCCATTGAGACCAATGGAGCTTGGTTTAAGTGTTTATGAAGGGAAATGATGACACCTGTGTGAATCATGTGTTTCAAACATACGCAGTTTATATACCAGCAAATCAGACTACATCATACCATGGAATAGAAAAATAACAATCATACGAGATCAAGCCAAAAGTCTTTGTGAGTATGGGATACTGTGATTAATAAATTGGAAATAACTTCAGAATAGTAAATCGTATAATAGTTGTCAATAGTTTAAACGGAAGCTTAAAGTAAAAGGAATTCGGATGTAAATAATATATATATATATATATATATATATATATATATATATATATATATATATATATATATATATATATAATAAAAATTCCGTAAACAGATCTTAGCATTTAACATTCACTTATTATTCATCCGAATATATGGAGATTCGCATATTCAAACTTCATCACTTTCTTTTGCGTACTGTCTGATAATTCTGCACTGAAAGACTTTATTTCTTCTCCGTGTCTTTGAAGTTTTCAGCAGTAATAGAAGTGACGTTTGTATTCAAAGTCATTAGATTTCTTGCTTGCTCATGAGAATGAGACTTTGGAGTCGTGAGCAATTCTTCACATCTCCATTCCATAGTCAGCAAGTTGTCAAACATTAGCAGTCCCTGAAGTATTCTCAAATTTTCTAGAACCAGCACCAGTAATGAGGAATTGACAATGTAAGATTTAAAATATCTAATAAGCAAATTACGACGCCAAAGAATAGGAGGTTTATAACTTGTAATACTCAAAATAGGAAATTTGATGGGCTTAATTATTGCACAGTGATTTCATGACTTCAATATTCCAACTAAGATGATGGATTTGATACTACCAGCGTAAACAAAAAATCATGAAATTTGCCACTATTCAGACATATTTTTTTTTGAATATGAAGTGAATTACTGAAAGATGTAAATAAAGATAGTATATGCTTATTATAATTACTTAGGCCATTGGAACCCGAACTACAAAGTTCAGCATTATTTGTAGCGAAAAAAACAGTAGATTTACAAGCCGACTAAATGTGTCCCATTTTACCACACTTAAGCAGTTTAACATGACGAAAGATACATGAATTAAGTAGGTGAAATTTACCACAGGATAAAGTGTGATAATTAGAAGTATTTGAATTATAGTACGAACTAGGAATCGCAGAACTAACGTAATTCAAGCCACAAAGAACTAGGTGAACACAAACGAACGTATTGTATTTGGAATTCGAAATCGGGCAGTCATCAAGCACAAAGACATCACTAGTTCATACAAACACCATATCCACCACAGATTAAATGAGAATCCAAATTTCTACAAACAATTGTGCCTCTTCTCCTTAGGTACATCATTTGTCTGTCCGATTGTGAATTGGATGTAAACGCTGTATGACCAAGGTCCTGGAATTGTATACAATCACCCTGTCGACACCAAATAAACATTCACCGAACATGTGATCACCTCTATAACCTGTATTGCAACTTCTAAATGGATTATTATCCATGTTTTCAAGAGAACGAAGATTATCTTTAATTAGATGTTCACCTGTGTGACCTTGAGTACGCATCGGATTAAGATAACTAAGTAATATAGTAGAATTCTTGACCTCTTGACAGTCAGTTCCATGCACTGCCTCATAATCAATATACTCAATCCTAGCATCTTGGAAACATTTCGGTATATAAATTAGATCATTTTCCAGATTTAGTATGGCAATCCCTCTAGTCAATCGATCACGAAGCTGTACATGAAGTTGGTCACCAAAATTACACTTGGCTGCCTGTTTTGCAATTCGAGGATGAATCCTCTGACCTATCGGTTTTAGTGAAGAATCATGTTGAGAACTTTGCATTCGAAACTAGCAAAATCTACACTATTTAATGGTAGTTGTTTGACAGTTGGGTAGGGAAGTGGGATAGGCTTATCTGGATATGCCGACGTTTTCAGTTGACTGTAGGAATCCTTTCCGATGAATGAGGAATTGAGCCAAAATTTTATCACCCTTAACAGCTTTCCTGGTCATACTCCAGATTTCAAACATTTCCATATAGTCCTCGAAAACTTCTGAATTTGAGTGAACATGCAATTGTTCAAACACAGACCCCATCAAATTAATTAGAAATTCCAAAAACAGTGCAATTCAGGCCAAACAGAACTAGGTGAGCACAAACGGACATATTGTATTTGGAATTCATAATTTGTGAACAATCAACTACAAATGAATCTTTAGTTCTTACAAATACCACATAAACACATTCCTAAATGCCACCCAGGTTCACTAACAAATTATACGAAAATATTGAAGAAGTTATTTTTATAGCCAATTATTAAGTTTTAGAATTGCGACTGATAAGTCAACACCAACTTGTTATACTACTTACTTTTAACCGTCCCTGTGTTCCGTTGCTACACTCTACTGTTCCGTTCTATAAGTTATTTGGACATTCTTGAATAACATCCAAATGAAAGAAATTCAAGTTAGATCTCATTCATTAATTTACCATACCTTGTCCATTATAAATGGCGGAACATTGTCAAGAACTAATAATTGCTTATTCTGGTACCCGGGTTTTGTTCAAAATTATCACGATGAGACACTGAATGCACATATATGAAGTGTCTATTCTCATCTCTTATTACAAACATGCGTTGAATAACTTTTTTGTAGTACCAAATCCTTTTACCTAGAAGTTCTGATAGAAGTCCATTTCTACAACATCATTAATATGTCACTTGGAGAATTCAGAAAATAAGTATTGATGTCATACTTGGTGTTTTTGTCTAAAAATTACGCACCTTTAATGACAAAAATAGCTTCGTACTTCACCTGTTCCATTCTCAATAACTTTCGATTCTCGTAACCAACCTGTATAGCACACGAATGTTAATTATGTAAACAATTACCAAATTAAACATCCCAGTCTAGCATATTATTCACACCGGGAGACTCGAATTTACTAACGATTACTGAGTGATACTAAAATAGCCATGAGAAACTTTCATTACTTACTAGGGTCACAACCGTGATATGAATGTGAAGGCTTAGGATTTAGAGTTAGGACGCCCATCGCGAATTAATAGCAGCCGGAATGCCAAAATGGGTAAGACTAGATCAACCGACAACTGACACTCTATTATTAGGTTCATCTGCTCAAAAGCAACAATGGTCTTCCTGAAGGAGCCTATTTGTAAGCTTTATACCTCAGGTGCCTACCAATAGACACTTAAAACTTCATGAGGTAAGTTATACGTAGAGCCAGTGGAATGTCACTAAGCCCTAGACAAATCATCCGGCAGTTGGATCACTAAATATCGAATAGTCCACCGGTCCTCGTCAAGGTCCAGGATGACCGACGCACATCATTTAACTGCAAGTCATGGACTAGCCCATGCAGTAGTGGTCGCACTATGTGATGACGTCATTTGTTATACGATCATCGAAGCAGTCATAGTACCTGAATACGATGAAAGGATAATCTACGTTAGATACTAACTGAAAGATGTGACTCCGACGTTAGCTAGTTGGTCACATCATCCCCATTTAACTCGAGTAAGCCCACCTACCCCCCCCCCAATCATTCGACACAGGTCATCTACATTAGTAATGTACATACATAAAACAAAACCTACCCATAAATAACTCCAGTAAACCTAATCTACTTACGAACTAATGAAAGCAGACAGAAACATAAACACGACTAAATTTTGTAAAAATGAATAGTGTATGAGTATACTGTACAGTAATACAAGTTTACGGTTATTTAAACCACTTTGTTTTACTGAATATACATAACTTAAGAGAAAAAAACGAAAAATAATTGATCTCTTCCAAAAAAAAAATAATAATCTAACAGTATACAAGGGAATAAATGGATAAAATAGAGTAAATCTATTTCGAAATCTTAAACTCTTATCTAAATAAAGTTGCACTATATTGAAAATACTGTAGTAAGTAAGAGATAAAAAAACAAAAAAAAACAAAAACAAAGTTCCAAATTGTGTACTTTGTTTTAATAATCTTTATTTAGCGTATTTATCTGATTTGGATATGGCAAATGTCTTCTTCGCTTCATCATTGATTGAACATATATGCTAAATGTATAATGAAAAGATATTATATGAAAACAATGAATAAAATTACATCATACTTGTTTACTTAATAAATATTAATCAATTAAGTAGTATTTGTGTGCGTGTGTGAAGAAAATGGCAGGATAGATTGATGGATAAAGTGTAAACTATTTAGTGATTTTATATTTTGATTAGTGTGAAACATATTGCATTGATTGAAGTATACTTTAGGAATGAGACGCGGTTACAATATCACTAAGATGTTTTATGTTCTCTGTTAAATAGAATGTCTACTTGAATTTATTGTTACAAGAAAGATCTATAAAGGTACATATGACTATTATATATTGAAAAATAAGTGGAAGAGGTGTAATTTGGAGAACTAATGAACAGGCGAATGATTCAGTCAGAGAATTATTAAGAGGTGTAGGAAGAATTTGATTGTGACCAACTCGGTCTCGTGTGCTGTTACGGGTATGAGGGCTGATATCACTTCCCGGTTGCCCATGCCGTGGAAGGGTATTTCTTGAGGAACCTGAAAAGGAAGTTGGATTAGTGTTGGTCTTAGCGACCTGGGAGCGTGATCACAAAGCCCAAGCGACAACTGCTTGAGGCCAGTCGCACAAGGCCTTTTTGTGGGTTTTTAATGTGTTAGCCCTGTTCTTCAAAGGGCTTACCACCGGAGACGGAAATCCATGAAGTAAGGTGAGGCGTGACATTTTTAGGGTTGACCTTTTATAACCCCTTCCTTCTGTCACACTCCTCTACAGTCAGCAGTACGACTTCGCCCTCAGACCTTGAGTTGCTGCTTTTAGTCTTACCATTCTCCAATCGACATGCCTGGCATCATAGAACCTACAGAAACATATGTTCCAACCAATATAGCTCGGTTGGGTCATCACAGTATGCAAGCCCGACCACCACGTCAAGATAGCAACTACAGTCGCGAGGTGAATGATTATACACTTTAATTGTATTTATTAAACATTTGGTTTATAGTATTTTTATATTTTTCTAATCACAAGCTTTCATTTAATGCGTTAACTAATGGTTTATCTTCCACTGTTCATAAATTACAATTAATTGATTGTGAACGTGTTGCTCAGTTTTGTATTATGAGTGACTTATTTGCATAGAAATTGTGATTTCCAATCTATAATGGATCATGATCCTACGATTGCATTCATGCGTTGATCGGGTAGGTCATGAACAGAAAGAATTCACGTGGGTCAATAAGTGTCAAAAAATTTAGTGTGGATTGATATAACTGGCGAAAGCAGACTAAATAAATTGGTGATCCCGTCAAATGAGCCTACAGAAGTGAAGTCAATTCAGTGACTTTATAATGTACTTACATACATATACTATTGAAATCATGAACCGATCAATGTTAGACTACAATTGAAAATCTGGAAGCACCAGAAGGCTATTTCATCCTAATATGGCAATCCACATGCGTGAGTATCCACGAGCCCTCGTGCGGGACTCAAACCCTTGACCATAATAAAGTCTCCACAATCATATTCTGATATATACACTACTTAAACGATTAGTGTGGCATTACTGACCCAAATTGGAAACCAGCTTACATTCAAGGAAAAAAGGGTTCTATCATTAATTTTTAGCATCAACATTGAATGCAGTTACTAAATACACACGACGGCGTTGTCAAACCATTAACACTAGCCGTTGGACAGAATAATGACAACTGTAAACTCATATTCATAGAATATCAATACTACTACTTAGTAGCGTACAAACAAAATAAAAATTTATTTAGTATTCTATTTGTTCAAGAAGTTCACATATCAACTTAAAATGATCCACGAAAAATTTGACTAAGTTTCAAAAGCCCTTTACTAATTTTTCAGAATTATTATTTAGCTGTTATTATCACAATCATACTATCCATTTCTATCAATTGGACAATCGAACTTCAATATTTCTGATCGGTTAATTACGTTCGTGCGATTACTTCTAGTTCATCTTTAAATCATTCATTACACAACCTTCTCGTACTACATGAGATCACAAAACACCTGATGACATAACTCTCTCTCTCTCCGTTTTTTTAATAAAATAGTGTGTTTTTTAAGTCACTGAATAAATACAACGTCAGGAAATGATTATGTTGAAAAGATTTTCTTCACTGAACTGTCTTTAGTTCTTCCTCATAATGGGTTTCATTTGCTATGGGAAATCTATATCTGATCTTTGAATAGTAGTGTACAAAAATATTATTGTAAATATTTTAACATCAAATATGATCACGTCCAAAAACGATTAAGGGATTTTAGTCATAAAGTAATGGAAATATAAGGTTCACATTTATTGACGTTTAGAAATTAACAAAGCTGATAATTATTGATTTAAAGGTTAATAATACATTTACAAAATTATATTTACTTACTGGTATATCTCGAAAAAAATCATTGTAGTCAATAGCATATCCAACAATGAACCGATTTGGAACTTCAAAACCAACAACTACGTAAAAATAATGAAATACAAGCTATCATTAGGTCGGTTGAATCTATTCAACGAAGTCAATCTAATCCAAAGATGCTACATACATAATGGAATTCAATAAATAAGAGTAGATTTGTTATATTACAATCCATAGCATACACATTGTATGAAACTGATTCAACTGATAACATGAAAATAATCTAAACAACTTTTATTGTCTATAACCAAATAATGGGTTTAATGAACAATCACGTTACAAACAATAACCAAGTATTTCAGTCACAGTAGAAAAATTGAAGAGACATAAGAGAATTACACTAAGGGACTATAGGGAGAAGACATTTCGTGAACTATGACATCTACAGTTAAATCATAAATTAAAATTACAGATAGTTATTCATTAATTCGTTTACGTTTAATTGAATTCAGAACCGAACTGAATATCAGTAAGTTATTGAAGTAGCCAACGACTGAGACATGTAGGAAAGGACCATAACTGATTTATACACTAGCTAACATCATACTCAGAATAGTACGAAGACGAAGTGTAGAAGAGTTATGATGAAGTTATAGCCCAAATGAGTGGTAATCTTTTACAGGTGTGTGATATTATTTAAAAATTCTTCAGTTTTCTCGAGAGTCAAGTAAAGTAATATATTGTAAGATAATGTAAGAAACAGGTGATGGATATATTCCCTATCCATAAAAAAACTGTGAGGACATAACAAGTGAGCTGGTATTCAACACAAAACACTCGTGCTAAAACTAAACTTACAATCTGGTTGGAACTCGGAAGAATCTTCTCTTCTTTTTACCAACAAACTGTAAAACAAGACAGAAGACAATTTTTAAAATATGCTGTCTTTATAACAAGTTTCTGAATATATTTTCTTGATCAAGCATTAAACTATGATAATAATAATGTGACGGTTTACCTCGACCCATCAAAATACAAACACTTCATCCCAATTGGATGGGACAGTATTGTTGTTCAATGTGTTTAGGTGTAAAAAAAATAGTCATGAGTAGTAGTCTGATGCTTATGAGAAGCAGTGAGCCAGAATCTTTGAATAAATATCTCAATATTATAATTATGAACATATTAATTTACAACGTTTGTCAAACCAGCGAACTGATTGTAAGATGTTAGTCAGACAATGAAATGGTCTGCCAGTCTGATTTATTCACACTCAAATACTTCACAATGTTTGACTGAGCCCACTAGCTATGCAAGAGCAAGACGATTAAGAATGAGTAAGAAGTTTTAATACCAAAGTTAAATAAAATCGTTTTATGGAAGAGGTTTTCTGTGATTTATTTAGACGAAATTTTCGCGCTTAAAATCAATGAATAGAATGCCAATCGATGGATGAACGCAATGACAGAATGTGACCAAGTGACAGGTACTAACGAGATAGTATTATTAGCTTTGGCATCCGAAAGGTTAGAAATCAAAAACGAGACCTCTAATCAGATGAATAAGTCTTTTTTCATATAATAAAACAGAACGCTTATATACTGAATATGAATACAAGATAACCACGATAAAATGTAATAGGCAAATGAACGGTAGGTCAATCATTTTCTAGTTAGTCAAGACCTGACTGTTAGGATTAATCTTTGAGCATAGCATTAAATTGTACATAACCCATAACTAGCTGAGCTGATACAGTGTAGAAACCAATCAACATGTGAGCCAGGTTCTACATTGCTAATGACTCACTGTACATAACTTATGGATAAGTATATACATACTTATATATCTTTACTGACTCAGAAAGAAATACATAAGAAATAACTTAAGTCAGACAAGTAATTCACCAACTCATAATAGCCTGTCTAAGCTTTCGTTTTTCACTTGTCCTTGTGGCAATATTATTTGATTGGTTTCGCAGCGATATGTGACCTGTTTGGATTTGTTTAATCTATCGGACAAAAAAGAAAATAACAGTGAGTCAAGTTTGCAAAAGCCTACAACCCAGAAAGAACCATGTATATTTGTAATAATACAGTATTTGCCGAGAATGACATAACAATATGAAGCGTTTTGATCTGAACGTTTAGAACTAGTTTGTGTAAAAACCTTTTGAACAATATTACTCGGTCAAACCTTAGTATCTCATGACATCTTTATGAATATCATCAATAAGGTATCACCAATGTATGAATCTACAGCTCTATCGTGTATATTTGTCTAGTTTAGTACATATATTAAGAAAGGAAAAATTAATCAACAATGTTTTGTTTATTTCTTCAAGTTAAACCCAGTAATCAACAACCAAAAAAAGTAGTCAGCAGGATTGAGTCAAAATTTGGAATCTAATAAGCGCAAACTGAGACTAAAAACAAAATCCAAGTGAATACACACTAACTTTACAGTACGCTGTCAATGTTCTTGATAGTTTAGGAAAATATAAGTATGGTAATATATATGTATCTATTTTTAAAGTCAAAATTTTAAATAAATGACACGAACTGAAGTAGAGTTTACACTCCGTGAGAGGTGACCAAATTATATTTCTAGTTTCGCTGACATAAAGCAGTAAAGTAAAACTAATTTTAGATAGCTAGGGAAGTAAAAAGGGATAAGGATAGATAAATATAAAATCCCGAGATGAATTTCAACACAAATTGATTAGAAACATAGTTAACGGGCACACAAGCTTCAAAGTGACGCCTTAAAATAAAACTCTCAAAAGACTACCATACATAGTCAATGTGTATCAACACAGCCATCTTCTTGTACAACAGATACATACAGGGAAATGTACGAAACTGACGTTTCCACTCATAATAATTAAGTTACGACTTATAAATCAAGTAATAAATCCGTCCAGTTGAGATTCTCGGTAACTTGTAAGTAAGGACTTGCCCAGAAGTGTTCATATCCTATATACAATAGTGTTATGATTTGAGATAACAATAACATAAAGGTTAAGGAATCTCCCTTTTAAAACGCAGGTCCTAAGTTTGAACCTTGTACCATCTCCCCTTTTGGCAGCTGAATGATAGCACCAGTAACACCACAATTTGGTTCAAAGATGATCAAATAAACCTGTACTGTCTGCAAGTCCCAGCCCTATCTGTAAGATGAATCAGATTTTACGTCCAGAAAACTCCCCCACATGATATATCAAAATGATTGGCACAAGGAGCAACTTAAAGGTTAGAATTTATCACATCCATCTGTTTCACCGTAAATATTGTCAGTTAGGCAGTGTATAACATTTCGATAAACTTGGACCTGATATATCTGTTGTGGCTTCAAAGTAAGAGTATCGGAGCGAAATCAGTCAGAATGAATATTTTTATCATATCAAATAAATAGGATGAGCTCAAAGTAAGACGAGAACAGCAAAGTCGAACAGTACCGAGTGAGAAAGACTAAACATAATAAATATGGTTACGGAAAAAATTAAAAGGTATTTTTGGAATACTGGAACTCAAGATCTAGAGGAGGATAAGGATTAAATGTATCTGCGCTACTGTGACCGATTCTGAACCATGTAATTCAGTTTCAAATCCCTGATTGTACAGATCCAACTGTGTGGTCACCATCTACGAGCACGGCTTGGTCTAATAGTCAGTGACTTCATGAACTCATGTCACATTTCCGTATACCCATCCCTAGGTTACTTCTAACATGCTTCTATGACAACCAACACCGAAAGTCAAAGTAGGTGGGAGTTTGACATATGTACCAAATCAATTGATGAAGATCCACAACTTCATCGACCGATCTTCATATTCGCCTAGCTCCTTATATCTAAGTTCAGGGTTGCTTAATTGGTTGTCCCACGATACACAAACACTGCTTCGAAAACACCTATAATCAATAACATGAAGCCTATGAAAGTATTCTATTTTTACTGACCACGTTTCAGTCACCAGTTAATAAGATACGGACTACCAAGCAGTATGTTCACTGTTCGATTGACGAATGCACATTTCACCTTTACTGCAACTGACGCAAAGTGGCGTAAGTCAATTTATTTATTTATTTATTTTAACACATAAGTATAGGTACAGGGAGGCACCAAATACATATGCGCCACACGAATCTCAATTGATTTGTGTGAGGGCTGTGATACTGCACGGGTGCCCAAACCGAAACAGGTGGTTTTCTTAAGGGGCCACACCCCGAGCCTTTGACCTGAACGTCTGATCCACAAGGCAGTGGAGCATCGTGAGGAGAAGCAGTCCCATGGAAGCCGGTGACCAACGATTGGTTCATACGCCATTTGTTCCTTCAGGATACTGGAGCCCATGTGCACCATTGGTTTGGGATCCGGTTAAAGCGCCGGACATTCGCTTTTCGTCCTCTCATTTTTGTAAACAACACCCCCGCCACGTGAAGGCAGTGAGTAGGACTTCCCTGGCAGGGGCTATGGACGCGTGGCCATGTGAGAGCATTTCGAGAGGGAGAGCGGACTCTCCCCACTCTCGGCCGTACCAGGGCATTTGGGGGCGGCGTAAGTCAAGCTGATTTTCTGAATCAGTATGGAAATTTTGGTAACATCGATCAACCAAGTAATGATGGAAATTAAAGGATAGTTGAAGTAGTGGGTGCCCTCAATTGCTTTAGGACTTATAACAGAGATAGATGACGTAGACCAGCCATGAAGCAACATCTGATATTTAAAAGGAGAGAAAAGTATCCCAAACATTCTAACTCTGTTGCTCAAGGTGTTCAGGAGATTGAATTATGTCACTTTTCACCTTATAAAACTATGTTATTAGGGTACTTCATTCCGATGGGTGAGTTTACGAGAAGATTAATCAGTGTAAAGTTAGGTGAAAAAATGTTCCTAGAAGGACATTTACTACGAAAATCAATAAGTCCAGATAGTGGGCAACCATGACAAACAACACCTGAGTTTGGCAGTTCTGATGTCCGTTTGCTATTAGCGTTAACTCGACCTCGTGTTTGAATAAATGGCTTTTAAAAGCTTCGTTTACATCCTCTGAACATTTTTTAGTGAAATCTTCCACGAAACGTTTTGGTCTACTAAGTCGAGAAATATCGCTAATGTCAGATGAGAATGTCAACCTATAAGTTTCTAAAAAAAGAGTAAATTTGATTGAGATATCCAAATGCAACCCTGGAATCATTCTGCTCTTTCCTTGTTTGATATTCACTGTGCCCAGATAAGCGTCATATGACTGTTAAAGGTAGTATTTTAGATACTATCTTAGTTAAATTTATTTCGTTGTATTTATCAAAAAGCTAAGTTTCCGCAGGGCAAAACATAGATCTTTTTTAATATTCAATTCATTAATTCTACCAAAACAACTTAGTGCCTATTATTATCGTAAAACTCGGTAAATTATAAATTAAGTACATATAAGAAATTATAGATATTAGCTTAAGTCAAAAAACCAAGTGTCAGTTGTTCACTAGAACAAACTAAACTATGCAGTAAGAAGCAGGTGGATGAAAACTTATAAAACCAACAAAGTACCCTATGCATAAAATATAGATGAGAGTAAAAACAATAAACGACACAAATTAATCAACTCACCAAGCAACAAGAACGGAACGAGGTTCAAAAGATTTAATATAAGGAACCAGTTTGCTGAGAGTAGTGCCTGAGTCAAGCAAATCTTCAACTATGAGAACATCCTGAATTTAATTTTGATAAAGTCTTATATATGATTACCTTGTCTTTAAATGATGTCAAGTTAGTGTAAGTATGAAATCGAGGTTCGTGACCTACGACATCGTTCTGAAACTAGAAATAACACCAAACTTACTTCGTATGTGTTTGAAACGATAAAGTCCATGAAGATAGGTATATTTTTACTTCGTGTAACCGCACTGCTATGTATTTTTTCAATTAGGTCGGATGCAAACTTGAACCCGCCTTTAAGAACGCATAAGAGATTTATAGCAGTTGCATTAAGCAACTCAAAGGTTTCTAAAATATCGATTGACATTCTTTCGAGCCTTTAAAATTCGATAAATCTGTGCTACATTTGTCATACCTGTCCTTGATCATACCGTTAGGTACTAATATACTCTCTATGTACTGTTCATACTTACTAGCCAAGTTGAAACATTTCTCGGAATATCCAGGAAAGTCGTCATCGATCTAAAGAGAAAACCAATAGACTTTGATTCACTAACTCACAAGTACACAATTCTTCCTGTATGAAGGCTCCATTTCACAGATTAAAATCAGACCTGGATTCAAATTACCTCCTTCCCCCACAACGACCTTGAACGCCCAAATAACTGCGGGGATCTTATATTCCCCGTGCTTCATGTTTATATCTAGCTTACATTTATGGTAAACGCACATCAGACGTACTTTATTCTTCAGAAAACACTATTGGTGACGGATATGCCGTAGAAAGTAGACTTGGCAAACTACCTCAAGCAACTGAGTAAGACCTCAATAAGACGAAGCTTATTGTAAGTTAATTAAATTGCATGTGATGCAAAAAAGTAATGTACTTCACGAAAACTTAGAAAGTTCAGGGTTAAAACTAGGATTTAGGAGTTTCTAATAGGAATCTGGGTTAGCCAAGTGCATGGAGTGATCAGATCAAACCTCTTTGTAGTCATAAGGATAAATATTCATAAAACCAGGTCCCAATTTTAAATGTAACCTCTACTTACCTTGAAATATTGATAAATTATGTTTTGTGTTGTTTCGTATTCCACGTTTATCGATTTTAAATGCCTTAGTAACGTGACTTTGGTAGGCCTTTTTAAACCTTTAGCATGACCTAAGCTATCAGTCATCGTATTTTGAATTTCGCGCGAAAATCCACAACCAACTGTCTCAAGCTTGACTGGCTAATCATTAAGATATTCTGATGCAGACATTTAACTTCAATATGTGTCAGATCTCTTTACAAATGTCTGTTCTTTGGGCGAATCTCTCCTCTCTTAACCGTTCCTTTTGTACTCTGAAGTCATACTACTTGTCTGTGTGTACATATTGACCAGTAGGTTAAATATGACAATAGGAAAGATTGTCTGTATTTGCATCCTATATTTGAGTCGGTTTAAACTGAAAATACTTTTCACAACTTCCTTGAGTGATACTTCACTTAAATCTGATTCACATGCTAGTCTATAATGCAACAGGATGACTCAATAATATACTAATTATCCGTTCATTAATAGACTTGCGACTAGAGGAGAGTTTGTTATTTGATTGCATTACATCATCGACTTTATGTTTACATACGGTGTTTTTTCTAGACAGGAAATGTTGGTTTAATAATCTTGTTCATTCAACAAGGCTTACTGTCTGATTTGAGATTAGACGAGCTTTTTAAACTGAATAGCTCCCCTTCTCCACAACTCTCGAATCTCCTAACATATTCCTCTATTTTCTCGAAGGAACTAGTAACATATAATTTGTATATACATATATTCCATTTTAGAAAACACCGCTGAAACACCGTGCTGTATTTGTACCATGGCAGCGACATCAGATATAATGTTGATTGAAATGGATTAAACTAGCAACTGAACTAGCACTTCAACAGTAATCGTGAACAAATGAACACACGGAATGCACCAATTATGATATTATCAAACTTGTATTCTGATAATCAAACAAACATTTAACCAATTCAGTGTTGAACAGAACCAGAATAGATATGAATTAGAAATAAATAGAAATTGTATTCAAATATTTCAATAAATCAACAGAAACTGAAATATTTATCAGAATATAAATGAATATGGACTTAACTTGACTGTCATTAGGACGAAGTCAGTATAAACTCGAGTTAACCTTAGTGGATTGAACGGATATGAATTATAAGTAGTACGTATAAGAAATATATGTATACAGTCAATGGGAGTGATACAAGATGGTTGTACAGACATGCAAATAGTTACATGTAGAAAATGGTAATTAGGAAATCATGGTAGCCCATATGGACGAGTGTACAATGACCAATAGAATTTAAGTGAGATGTATGCTGGTCAATCACATGACAGTCTAGTATTATAAGTTATGTAATGCAGTATAAACTTGTATGAACCCGACGTCTAAAGCCATCATATATTTGCATTGTCAATACATTTTGATGCACCACATTATTACCAATACCATATTTCTTTTGGCGTCTAAATGAAACTCTAGGAAGCTAATATAGTGAAATAGTGTTCGTATTATTAATCTGATTAGGAGACAGCGAATGTATTGAGAACTTGAATAACAGTTTCCCTGAATATGTATTTAATTAGTTAAATAAACTGATGTGTTTAGCAATAATAAATGAGATCAAAGCGGATTACAAATGTATAGACACAATACTGGACTAAAATAGTGATGGTAAAGTAGATTCATAAGGTTGTGAAGTTTACGTCTATTGATGTAGTTGAAATGTGTTAACGGACACGATGCGTTATACTTGATGCGTTATACTGGTAAGAAAAGAAGTACTTGAGAGATTAAAAGCAAAAAAATATGACCTAAAAACAAATTTAAAAAATACATAAATTGAACAAACATTCATTACTACTGATATGAAATGTCATCAGTATCCGATGCTAAACTAACAAAAGAAGCAAATTGCAATTACTGCTGATATGTTAAATACTGTAACAACTTATGAGTTGAGAAATTACACAGATAATCTTCCATAGCGGAAATTGTATAATTAGCCAAGAGATGCCAAATTACTTTACGTTGAAGAATCAGTATTCATTCAGTAGATATTATTCTATAAGAACTAGTTAATCAAAATCTAGAAGTCAAACATTCTTCCATGAAACTAAAGATCCTAGGTTTGAATCCCACTAACAAGATCATGGATTCGCACTTCCGAAGCGTCCCACAATAGGACGAAACGGCCGTCGAGTGTTTCCAGGTTTCTCAATGATGATCTAACATCAATCGGTTCATGATCTCAATCAAAATCTTAATAATCTTCACAACCGCCATACTGATAAAGTCAAAATAGTTTTTCTTTTAAACAAAGAATATTTGTACAGAGTTGAAATAGTATTAAACAAGCACAAGGTTACATAATAACAATGTTACTTCTTAATATTATTCTTTATAGAACTTTTAACACAAAACGTTTGTTTTTGTTTCTGTTGGAAATCTAATCTGTTTATTTAATATTGCCGTTAATAAACCAGAAATACACTATGCATAACTTGAAAAAAACATAAAAAGGACAAATATCTAATTCAACCTTTTTCTTTCTGTTAAGGTATATCCATGTACATTGTTGTTGTTTTTGTTGTTGTTGTCATACCATCGTTGTCACCTACATTCTACTTGAAGTTGAATGAAATAAACTTCTTTTATCAATGAACTAATGCCAAATACGTCGGTAAAATTTATGTTTTATAGAAAAAAATGAAAACTATTCAATTACTTTTTTAAATGGAATCATTGAGTATTGAATTGTGCTTTTAGAAAAAAATTCTTAAGGTTATAAAAAAATGATAATCCAAGTGGTGGTGGTGGTGGTGGAGAAGTTTTTAGCTCAGGTGGATAATTTCGATGGAGTTTTGTTCTTTGAGCTGGATGGTTTGATCGTGGAGCTTTTATCGTCCTTCTTAACGACATCATCAGCACACTTCACTTCTACCTGAACATTGTGCTGATGATGTCGTTCAGAAGAGCGATGAAAGCTCCATGATCAAACCATCCAGCTTAGAGAATAAAACTCTATCAAAATCCAAATGGTAATTCAAACACTGAAATGATCTACATTTATGTTTGTTTTTAAAAAAAGTAATATCAGAAAGACCATATGAGATCAGTTGGATTGTTAATTTAATTACTTGAGATAGTTATGATTGGCAAATTAAATTATGTAAACATGGATAATAATGAAAGTTGAAAGAATGAATGGATAGTAAGAGAAAATTAGCCAGAAGTCCTGGGGTTTTATATGTCTGTTGATGAAGAAACCAGAGATTAATTCTGTGATCAGCTTACAAAGCAAGCCTATACAATCCTCTGTTTGTTTGAAATGTTTATGATATTTGAGAAATCATATGAAACTATATTCGTCATCCTAATTATTATCAGTTACAGTGAAACTATTCATGTTTTAGTTGCCCTTTAATCTAACTCCGGTTCGATCGTATGACGATGTTAACGGAACATGTCATCAACCCTTGTATTTATTTATTGACTTAATTTGCGTTATAGAATAACGGACTAAAATTATTCAAATACGAAAATGAATTTTGGATGCGTATATTTCATGCACTTGTTAGCCTAGACAAACAATTAGAGAAACGAAGTGGACAAAAAGACCATAGAAGGCAAATGTTACGTCTTCATTTGCTAAAACGTAACTCAATATTTATAGACAGGAAAAATAAGCCAAAGACGCAAGGTTAAAGTAGGACTCAACAAAAATTAATAAATTGGTCTCTCCGTTAGCTAGAATAACTCATGGTGGCTTGGCATATTGCTAAACACTACAATATGGTTAGTTCTGAACTTTTGCACACATGTATGCGTCAGTGCTTCATTGACTGATCGTATCGATTCTGTAGACTGTGTTAATCCTGAGTATCTTCAGTTCATTTCGTTTCATCTCATTTAGTCTCACTTCATTGCATTAAATTAGTGTCTACGTGGTTGTTTGGACTATCAGTCCAATTATCTGTTCAATTACTACTAAAACTCTGATTAATATTGTATTGTTTAGAACGTCTGTGATTACTGTAGACATTGGGAGGTTTTTAGAGATTTAAATTCTTTGATGTCAACAGCATAGATTTATTTAGTGACAGAAATGTATGTACATTGATCTTTAATATGAAACTGTTCGTATTTCATGACGCCAGTCCTTTAAACACAGATATCGTAGTCTAAAATCAAACTGATCTGAATTTTTTAAAAAGAATTAATGAGAGTGTATGGATTTAGTTATTTCAAACATTTAAAACAACTAGCCCTTTTGATAATTAAGAAGACAAAGATCATCACAATTATGTATGATATATTAGTGCAATACATTTCTAACAATCTGATCACATACAATATACTTGTTAAGAACATTTATATATAGCTTCAATTGACTCACGATCTCAACAATTGAAATTACTAAAATCTCCACAAAACCGCCCCTTCTAATATTAATCAACATATGCTCACTAGTGACTGGTTTTAAGAAGTATATTCTGGAGTTCTAGTTGGAAGCAGTGACCAGTGCAATTCAACCA